TTATGAAAATCTTTACTATTTCTTCCAGTAATACATGCCATTTTTGGAACATTGTAACTGTTGGAAGACAAACTGCAGAAACGAATGCTCATGAATATCCCTTTCAAATGATGTATTACAGACTAATTCCATAAGAGGACTATTGGAAGACACGTTATAATCAACAATGCTTTCTTAGTACAGTAACATATTTTGATTTTTTCCTAATTATCTTCTGTAGCCAAAAACTCATTTGAAAATCAATCTTATTTACTAAACTTAAAAGGAGGAGGAAAATAGTGTCTGAGTGTCTTACAAATTGCCCATGGCTGCAGCTCATAGGCTCAGAAAGTAGTTACAAAGTCTAAAATTAAAGCATTTCAGTTATAAAAGGGAAATGTCCTTTCTGTAGTGCTCTTTCCTGTGAAATGATTTTCTCCACCAAAGGGTTTTCATAATTGTTCTGTTAGGTCAAGAGCAAAAGGTAGATTGGCTTTCTAGTCTCACTAAAACAGGTGACTGTCTTTTTACATGCTACTTTAAAAAAATCTAGAGGAATCCCAGAATGTTCTTCCCCTTGTTAAGGTAGAATCTAACAGTGTATCTGGACCTTAGTTTGAGTCTTACATATTTAAAATAGCAATGATTTAAAGTAATGGGCGAAAGGTCAGTTGCTTAATTTACTCATTAAAATGGCTTTTTTAAGGCTGATGTTTGAAATTGCTTGCCCAACAGTTACAAATCTTTTGTAGCAGTAAAACATTTGTACGCTGAGCTTTAACCATGACTGCTAAAGGAGTGTTTTTTAAATTGAATAACCTTTATGTTTTCTTTCATCAAATCCTAAGTCAGGAGGATGAAGTTACATTCTGTAACTTTGATGTTCCCTGAGTATTTGCTTTCCTATGTAGAGATGAGTGAACTATTCAGGATGTTATCAAGCCTTTTCATCTGTTACCAGTTTGTACCTCTATTCTTTTCTGTGTATCTCCTTGAATTTTATGAGGATTCCTTATCTCTGGTCTTTAAGCACTGGCATCAGTGGTTTAGGTCCTACTTCATTATGGCCACAGAACTGTTAACAGCATGTCCTAAGTGTATTCTAATAATATTGTGAGAATATCTATATTGAACACCAAGAATGCTATTGACTGCTATTGGGCCTACCACAGAGATTCAGTGCTCACTGTGGTGTAGCTGAACTTTGATGTATTTTAATTGTCTCATCTGACCATGCTTCTTTGTGGTGTTTCAGCCCATTAGTCTGCTTCATGCATGGGAATGTGCAGAGATGACTCAAAAGAAAAATGAGGCCTCTTTTCAAGAGCCAGAGTTCTTGAAGATGGGAACATATTCACATTTTTCCATCCATTTTCCTCTCTTTGTCAGGACATCAGCTTTTCACTGAATCAAGACACTTTTGGGAGAAAAGCTCGGAGCCTCACTTTTTTTTTTTTTTTTAATTGCGTTTTCCTCCAAAATATCTGGGAATAGTAACCTGAAAGATAAATGTGAATATTTCAGTGAACTTTCTTATATGTATGAAAAAAAGAGTAGTGAATTTTTATGTCTCTCTCTCATACAAAGACAAGGAAAGAAATGTATAATTAAATGTAATTTTCTGTTATCAAGTAAAAAAAATGAGGATAAGTATATGATTGTTCAAGAGAGTCTTATCGAAATTTCTAAGCCTCCAAAGTATTTTTATATTTCAGGTTTTGGTATATTAGCTTGTTCAGCGTCATTGCTTCATCCGACTTAATAAAATGAAGGGAAAATGCTTATTGTTACTGTTTTTCCTGGAAAAAAAAATCTTTAATCTTTATTTAATGCAATCTTTGATGGAAAAAAAAAGATTGAAATTAATATATTATTGTAAAAGGTGCAAAGTAACAGTTTTTTTATTTGAAGGTTGCAACTAATTTCCATTTTTGCATTGCACATCACCAGGAAGACATAGCTTTAATCACTCTTTCCTTTCAGAAAATGTCCTGTAGATATTATGTCACTGGGAAACCCGATCCTCATATTTTGACCAGTATTATCAGTGAAAATGAGTCAGATTGCTGAGTTACACCAATACACAGACTGAAATGCTGCAGATACTTCACAGACAGTAGTCTGGACCTCCTAGTATATGTGCAGCATATGTCAAACAGCCTGTGTCTGCTAGGATAGCTACCGTATCTTCAAATAACATGTCAAGCTAACAGACTTTCTCTTCCTTTGGCGTACACACTGGAGGTTTAGCCAATATACTGATTTTAGCTACAGAATATGAATTTCTGAGTTCTGAGCTGTATCAACAGATTTTCATGGTCCAGATGGGACTGTAGACAAGTCCTTGCAACTTTTTCAGCCTGTGAGTTTATGTAGTAGGCTGAGCTGATATATTCAGTGCAGAAGCCAACGTGCCTTGCTCTGCACAACATTTTCATTTGCTTAGATACACTATTTTAGCACCAATGAAAATTCTTAAATGGCATCTTGTGAAGTAAAGACGGCCTTTATTTGATTATTGTTGTTTATACATGTTTTGAGGAACTGCAGTTTTCAGTGATGATGTATTTTATTTCACCGTATGTGTAAAAAGTGCATTTAGCATATTTATTACCCAGCCCAGTTGTAGCTTTACAGTCTCTTAACAGGCTGTTTATAAATTGTGAAATTCCTGTAGAATCAGCTCTGTCTCACAGACAGCACTGCATCTGTCCTATAGGCATTCTCATGCAAAAAACAATGTGGTAGCGGAGTGGATGGACTGGGATCAAGACATGTAAAAAATCATCAATTTGGTTTTCCTGAAAAAACTGATGTCTTCCCTCAAACACAAGTGCAGACAACTTATGTTAGTCTTCTTAAGCTTCAACAGTAGCTTTACCTGTATGATTGAGAGCAGATTTCAGGCCCTGCTCTCCCAGTTCGCTATTCACTGGAGTCTTGCACAGTCTCTTTGTTACAAGCAACTGTTGGAGGCCAAGTTGTGGTTCGTACCTTCTTATTCTCTTTTGGAACTGAGTGATGAACTAGTATTTTCCAAGTACACTTTTATCTGTTGAGCTGCATTAATATTGTATTATCTAGCAAATGGATTTGAGATTGCTGGGAACTTGCTCCATGGATGAAATTTGTTATGCCATCAGGCAGAGAATTGTGCAAACAGCTCACTCAAAGATTTGCCAGGTGTGTACTTGTTAAAAATCATTTTGTGATATTCTTAGATGATGCTGTAGTTAATGTATACAATCGTAATGTAACTAACAAATAACTTCCAGCACCTGGCCTTGTGTAAGGAGCATTCCTGAAACACAATTTTCCCCTCTGGTTATAGCCAGAAATAAACCAGTTTGAGCACTCACAGAGCAGTCTGCAGTCACCAATTCATGATGAGTGGGGATGAGCAATCTGCTCCAAAGGCACATCTGTGCAAGTTAAACCAGTGGTGTAGATGTACTCATAATGAGCTTGATATTCTGGAATTTTGCTGGTTATTATAATATTATTTTTTCCTGCTAAGATTTTTGTGGTATCATGAAAGATGAAAGTTCCGTGTTACAAAACAGATATTGGAGACATCATCTGAAACAATACAAACTAACAAAATAATGACAATTTTGGGAACAGTTTAGATTAAAGAAAACACTAAAAAGTGTATTCTTTTGTCAAGATAGAAAATTGTCCCTCATCTTTATGTGGTGTGTAGGAAAGTAGAAAAATAATGTAGCATTGAAATAGAAAGAAAATAGGGCTTTAATGAGTGCTTGATCAATGGTTTAATAAACTTCCACCCTCCGTAATCTCAGTTCTGTTGTTCACTTCTTTTCAGTGCTCATTTTATTCTCTATGAATTCATGCAGGTACATCTCATTAATATTGAAATACTTAATAACAATAATACAGAAGTTTCAAATATTGTTGCAAGAGATCAGCCAAGCTTCAATTCATTTTATTTGGTATTGATAAACAATATTTGAATGAACAAATAGGAGATGGTAGTGAACTCGGCAACAATTGTTTTTGCTGATGATCCACAGTGCTTTGCAAGTGAATATTCAGGCTGTGCTTGCTCTAGGTGTGTTTTCTGTGCTGAGTTAAAAACTGGAGCAATATGGTTCCTTGCCGAGACTTGAAATGAAACAGATTTCTATAGGTTTATTGCAGAACATGTAGTAGCATATTTCTACAAATGAAATGATGTGTTGTGTCAGACACTGACAAAACTGGCATACCACCTTGTCTGCTCTCACATTAACATTAACTGAGATTTTGGACAGAAAAGTTGAACAGCCACATGAGATGATGTAATCAAGCTGTAAAATAGATGGGAGAAAAGCGGAGAGAGGAAAATGGAAACAAACCACTTAATTTACGTATGTCAGATAACAATGGGATCTTTGTTTATCTCCTTTGCTTATGTTAAATCATAGTACTTAAACAATTTGAATCTTGGAACTTTAGACATAATTTGCCTCTTGTTATGTTTGTCAGTATTTTTGTTGTTGTTGTTATTATCTATATTTGGAGCTTCATACATTACTTATTTAGTCAGGACCTAACAAAAATGAAGGTTTTCTTGGAGTTGTCATGTCTTAGCACCTGGATGGTACCTTTCTGGATTAAAAAAAGAAAAACTGCTAGAGAATATGCTGTTGCTAATTCAGTGGATGTAGTTGGTAGTAAGTGCCTCTCTACTTTTACAAACCAACACTGTTACTGTGCTTTTGTTTTGAATTTGCTTCATGTCTGTCTTTCTCAGTATAAATTGGTCAGCTTTGTAATAGCTTTGTTGAAATGTTTAGGATAAAGGGACCTATCACTGCAATCTTTTCCATGCCTTTCCTTTTTTTTTTTCCCCATCTCTGATGACCCTTTTTTGTCCTCAGCTGCTACTATCCGTCAGTTTTCCAGAAACTAGTCCTGAGCAGAAACAAATTTACTGTTGGTTTACAGCCATGGAGGATTTTTCAGTCTCATTGCTTATACTACAGTTAATCTACACTGCTCGTGTTTTTATTTTTCAGGAAACCGAAGCAGCAGTGCAGGCTAAACAGCCGAATGTGGAAGAGGTTTTGTCTAAAGGGTGTCATTTGTATAAGGAAAAACCAGCCACTCATCCAGTAAAGGTAATGAAGCAACCTTTAGCAATATCCATTACTGCGTAATGGGTTATGCTTCCCCTGTTGTACACTTGTCCTTGATGTGCTCTGTTTAAAATCAATGAAAGAACTTGGCAAAGAGCATTTGTTCTGTTGTCACCGCATAGCCAGGAACAATGTAGTGTACCAAGCTGGAAAATTTTTGCATGTTGTGATGGGATTTTTTTGTTTGACATAAACATTATTTTACTTATTCAAGAGTAATTCATACTTAAACCAAACTTAAATTTGTTGGGCTTAGTTAGTGGTATCAGATGAAGTCTTTTTTATCTTATGTTAAATTGCGCTTTCAGAAAATCTGTAAATTAAAAAAACAGAAAAAAACAACCAAAAACTTTTTTTTCTTCTAGACAAGGTAAGAGTCAAAGAAGACCCTTTGCTTTAATTTTTTTGTACTGTAAAGGAGAGATGATAATGTAAAACTTTACCACTGAGTATATCTGCCAGAATTCCTGTAGCGTGGCTTCCCTCATTCTGTCTTGGAGTCAAGAATTCATTGGATTGATCCCTCCCAACCATTCTCCCTTAGAAAAATATACTATAGAATCATTTTCCCCCAGAAATCATTTGGATAGTTCAGGCTTAGTTTCCTGAAGACCATATAGATTTGCATTGAACCCTTGAGTATCTAGGGTACCTGCAGAACCATGAAGCTGTAAATAATAAGCAAGCAGCGTTTCACGTGTGGTCCAGTTGCTGTTGGAGATCAAACTACTAGTAAGATCACTACTTTATTAACCAGAGCTTCATTTCTTATCTGATAACTGCTAATAAAGGATCTGATGGTGAAGAGTTCACTCAAACAGTAATAGTGGCTTATCAATTACAGTATCTGTTGCAATTATGAAGATAGTAAATTTCGTATTTAGAACTTTTCCTAACCTATAGTAGTCAGTAATCTCATTTTATAGAAAAAGATTTCCTCACAAAGTTAGGATGTCTGTAGGTGACCTGAACAGTAAATTTCATGTGTTTTTTTTCCATGTGTATTCGCTCCACTTGTAGTACAGTGGAGTATTTTCCTGCTTCTACAAAACCTCCTCTAAGTCTTATAATTCCCACCATCTGAATGGAGATTCATAGGGACATGTGGATGCACTGATCTGCACTGTAGAAGCTGATATTTAAGCATGTTTTAGTTTTTTTTTTACTTTCCTGAACAGAAGTCTTTAGGAGCTTTTTTCCCCACCTTTTTGGTATCTATGCTTGTGGTTTTGTTTTTTTTTGTTTTTTTTTTTTGTTTTTTTTTATAATGGTCAGTTCTGCTAAACAGTGGAAAAATACCAAGGAGGTGAACTGAAGGTGACTAAAAACTATAAAAACTAGTGTGCTAATGAGAGTGAGCAGAAGCAAGGCGTATGACTCAGCATTGGGTGAAAATAGCACTATTATTATTGGGAATAGAAACACATCATTTCAACACTGAATGGATGATGGAAGAAAAATCCCACTACAGTAGCTGTATTTTCTCACTGGGTAGCAGCCATCTTAGCATCTCTTACTCTACATTTCTAAGCAAAGAACGTAAAACAACAACAGAAAAAAAGTGAGATTTTGGCTTTCTAGTTTTTTGTAACTACATTTAAAGAATAGCAAAATGAGTGGTGACGCAGGGAGAATTGGTAGCACTTGTTTTGATATTCCATTGATGAAGGCATAAATAGTGTGACATGATTCTGTTTAGGCCAAACTTCTAACGTAAAAGTATACTCCACGTCTATTTCCTTTAAGTGTTTGCATCAAAGACTGAAAACTGCTTGTTTCTACCAGATCTGCTGGAACACAATCAACTGGAACAAGATAACTCTTTAAATAAACATTGATGTTCCTTGATTTGCAGTTTTGACAATGGTATTATAGAATGTGTCTGTAAAGAAATTAATAACTATTTGTTAAATAGTGGATATTTCATTTCTTGTCCCTCTTTAATTAAATGTTACTTTTTTCATTACCTTCTGGAGTTCAATTAATCGAACCTGTGAAGTTAATTTCTGATTCACTACTTTGTACAGTAATAAAATAGTGTACATGTACTGTCAGGGCTGCTGAATAGCTTTCTTAGTGACGTAAATTTCCTTAAGCTTCTCCCCATTTATGTCTTCTGCCTTTATTGTTAAGTGAGTAATTTTCAGCAGTATTTGTTATTCGTATATTCCAATACGACTTTTCAGACCAAGTCAAAATGACTTTCTACTTAAAAGATATTTTGTGGCAGCAGAAATGATATATATTCAAATTATGTTGTTTTTTAAAGGAAATTAATGAGGTTGCAAAGGTAAGCACTCAAATCTCAGAAAATGGTGAACTGAAGATGATGTGGTGGCCTTGTTTTAGGTTGCCTAATGCAGCAGAGGGTATGGGGAGCGCTCACACTGAGAGCAGCAACTCAGTACTTAAACTCATAGTTCTTGTTTAGTTTGTTGCTGTAAGCCACACTTTTCTTGTGAAGTATTCTGTTTCTGCTGTGAAGAAAAATGGCTAATTCCCTCATAGGCTGTTTCAAGCCAGTCATCACAGTGGTGTCTAAGTGCTTCATAAGCATTGCTTTATTTTAGTTTTGTGTATGATTGCTTTGTATTTTCCAGAGAAATGAAAGGAAGAAAAAACAGAAGTCGGGTCAAAGTAAACGTATCACTAGATGCAAATATCAGGGAAAAAAAAAAGTTTTCTTAACTGGTGATATTAAGCATACCTTTAATTTAAGCGTACCTTCAATTCAAAATAATTTCCCGGACAATTATGGCAAAAATATGAGGATTTACTTGAGACTAGATTTTGTTTCAAGCAAATAAAATATTTAAGCTAAGAACATTTTCACACATCAAATGAACTCCCATGGAACAGCGTAATGGTCTTATCTTTGTTTACATATGGGCACTGAGGCACAGAGTGAATTTAAATGTAGCAGATACCTTTATATGTCAAATTTGAAACACTGACAACCAGGTACTTCAGCATGTTATGCAACTTTTTTTTAATAAGAGAAATGCACTAACTTCAGTAATCCCAGCTGCAACTGAAATTGTGAAGTGTTCTGGAAATAAAATAGTAATATCTCATGTTGGAGTCACAGAATGTTTTTGTTTTTTTTTCAAATGTCTTTAAAAGCATTAATTACTTGCATGCCATTGTTTTACAACTTTGCACAGTGTTTGGTTACATGAGATATTCTTTTCCTAGCTTCCTTTTTTTTTTTTTTTTTTTTTTTTTCCTCAGTTTACTGCTAATCTTTCCATTCTTCTCAATAAACTACATCGAAGTCCTATGGACTGTATTCATACTACAGGCCTGCCCTGTCTTGGAAAGTGTCAATAAGTTCAAAGTATTAATGCAGTCATGTGCATTGGATCTGAATTTATGTTCATCATTGACTTTATTCTGAGATTTTGTAATCCTTTGCTGTTCATGTTTGCAAATTTTATAATACATTCAAAACACTCCAGTGAGAGTATAAATTGAACCCTGTGGCTTTCTATTAAAACATAATTGAAGTGAGCGTTGAAACTGAAATCCACTCTACTTCTTAAACACCAGCAGTTATTTTTTATAATGTTAGTCACAGCCATGGACTTTTTAATTTTCATACCATTTTTTTGTTTTTTAATTCTTATAAAAGTATCATCTTTACAGCATTAAAGAATACTGCTAAAATCTTTGAAGTAAGCACTAGGCAGAAATATAAGTAATAATCTGATTGAGTACTCGTGTTTAACATATGCTTCGTTTGAAACTTGCCCAGATGAAATATTTTTTATGGAGTAGATGATTATAAATTCTGTTTGTTAGAATTTTTCTGTGCCCTTCAGTAGGAAGTCCCAAGAGTGAAACCAATATTTGTTATGTAGAGTTAAAGTCAATCTATCTTCCAACAGCTTTATTTTGAATTTGTAACTTGTACTAGTTAACTAAATATTTGATTAAGCTGTCATGTAGAATGTCCAAAATGTGTAGGCACAGAATTTGAGCTGAGGCCTTCTCGATTATCAGTAAACCATCCATCTTGATGTTATAATTGACTGAAATATGGATATGTTCGCACATTCGCAAAGCATGCTAACAGTGATTACACTGGAACTTAGCAATATAGAACTGTAAAAAAAAAAATCTTGTTGGCACATGAAGTCCAAATATATGCTGATTCAAGGATCAAAAAACGGGGTAAGATGTGGTCTTTTAAGCCCTGGCACTTTAGTAATCAGACACATTCATATTAGTGAAATGAATTTCATGCTTTTGAAATGCATTTCTGTAAAGTAATCTTTACATGGATGGGAAGGGAGAGGTTACTGAGGTTACTCCTGGTGCCAGTGGCAATAGAAGGAACATAATCCAAGTCTCCAGAATAACAGCGCTCTGGATGGTTTAATCAGGATGGGAATATCTGTGGCAAGGGAAAAGCTGCAGTTTCCATCCATGACACTCCATTTTTCCTTTCCCATTTTTCTGATTAGGAGATAAGTAGTGATGTTGAGAAAGAGGATATAAGGAGTACCTTTACAACTATGTTTCATTCACCTCAGTCTTCCATTTAAAATGCTACATCACTTTTCTGTCTGAATACTCCTATGTAGTTTTAGTGCTGTTAGTGAGATTAGTTCAGGTATGAATATTACCCTCACTTTAATAGCACTGGGACTGACATTTAAAGGAAATCAATAAATCAATAGAAACTGTTCCTCAGTGCAACATATTTTAATTTTAATACTTGTCACTAAAACTCTAGAGCTACAATTACAGCAAAATTATTGTGCTTGACGAAGTGAACGTTTTTAATGCGTGCATGCTAATTTATGGCAGATGCAAGATTGGATCAAACTGTAAATTTGACAGGAGAGTTTGGAACTAGTTACTCTCTTATTAGTGGTGTAGATGTTGCTTCTATTTTGCCATCAGTGAAAACAAATCCCTGGCTCACATCTGTATGAATGAAACAGCTACTCACACTGAGAACCAATATTACATTTATGATATTCATATTTTTTTCCTGAGTTAGTGTGAATAAACAGTAAAATAAAGCTGGACTTTGACAGTATAATCTCTCAAGCTTTTAAGGGCTCTCTACACCTGCTGATGCTACTGAGTAGATCCTGGTGCAGCCATTTACATTTTAGATCTGGAATGAGGTTCTTAGGTGTGAGCAGTAGGAAAAAAATGTTAAGAAATGTGGGAAAATATGGTTTTGTGTGCCAGTAATCCACAAATAAAGTATGTATGAATTGTCAAATGTTATATTTATTGTGCATACCCTAATTTCTTTTTCATTGTGGTCATCATATTCTGTTGTTGAGGATAACTTCTGATATTCCTGACTCTTTATTTTAAACTTAATGCAGTTTTTAATCTACTCTTAGAAGTAAAATGATTTTGTGGTACAGAGTTATATCCGTTCTCTTCTGTCCTATTAAAAAGCATTTGCACAAAAAAATCTCCAGGACTTATACCAACTAGTATTTTTGTTTCTACTGATGATAGATATAAAAGAACTTTGCAGATTTAAGAGTACCTTTGGCGAAACTTAAGGCAAATTCTAGAAACAGTGCCCAAGGCATCAAAATGTATGCATATGTGTGTGTACACTCTTCAATTTAACGTTTCTTCTTCTTTACCCCTCTCCTACTTGACCCCATCTTGTTAGGTTCAAGGTACTTAAACATAATTCTTAATAGACATCCTGTTTCTATTAGGACTAGATAGTAATTTAGACTAGTAATTTATGTCTGATCATGACTAGGGCTAGGAGTGCTAAAAACACCACTGAGTGGCATTGGTATACTGGACTGCTATCACAGTGTTGCAGGAGTTGGAAGGGACCTCGGGAGATCATTGAGTCCAACTCCCCTGCTAAAGCAGGTACCCTACAGTAGATCACACAGGCAGGCATCTAGATGGGTCTTTAGTATCCCCATAAGAGGAGATTCCACAACCTCTCTGGGCTACCTGTTCCAGTGCTCCATCACTCTTACTGTAAAGAAGTTCTTCTGCGTGTTAATATGGAACTTCCCATGTTCAAGTTTTAGGACATTAATCCTTGTGCTATTGCTACACACCACCTTGAAGAGCCTGGCCTCATCTGTTTACCTCCCACCTTTGTTTAGGTATTTATATATGTTTGTCAGATCCTCTCTCAGTCATTTTTCCTCAGGCTGAGCAGACCCAGGTTACTCAGACTTTCCTCGTATGGGTGATGCTCCAAACCCTTTTATCATCTTTGTGGCCCTCCACTGGACTCTATCTAGGGCTCCTTGTCTTTTTTGAAATGGGGAGCCCAGAATGAGACACATGGTAGTCTAAATGTGGTCTCACCAGGATAGTCAAGGGCTGGCTATGGTTTTGTTTTGTTTTTTTGTTTTTGTTTTTTTTTTTTTTGCTTTGTATAACAAATGGTCAGGAAGCAGCTTGAAAAGGAAAAGCAGTCTTCATTTTAAGGGTTTAGAAATGCCAGCATATAATTAGCATGCTGCATCCTACTTTACAGTCCCTAGAGTGTGGAATAAAGATGGGGTAGAAACATTGTTTTCAAGTCTAAATGCCTCTCACGGTTATCTTAAGACTGATATAATTCACATTCCAGACTTTCACATTCGTTTTGTTTAAAAGTAGCAGTTTAGCCATTGCTCAGGAGTGTTTACGATTCCTTGAGGTCTCCTAAGGTATTTTTTTTTTTTTAATAGATAGAAGAACGTGTTCTGAATTGCAGAGATTTTATTGACATGGTTTTTAATACAAAATTCCCCTTCCTGTTTTAATATAATAAAATGAGCATCTCAGGTTTATGATGATTAGAAACAGAACAAAACAGAAAACTTTTGTTTGGAAATCATCCTGTGTCTCCTAAGTCCATCAGGGAAAAGTGCAGGCTGGGAGGGTAAGGAAGAGGCCTGATGAGAAGAACCAAACAGAGCCCTGAGTGGGGCTGGGTACGGGGCCTCAGTGGGACTGAGGTTGGTTAGGGAGCAATATGGCCAGGGTCCGGTGGCATAGCCTGTAGGTTGTCCCTGAGCTCCAGCAGGCAAATTTCTGGGAGACAAGATGCTCTCAAACTGTTACACCATGAAGCTTTTTTTTTTTTCCCACTTCAAATGGGTCATACTGTGTTCTTCCCTCTCTCTCCCATTTGTGAAAATTAATTGCTGTTTCTATGTGGGATGTTGTAAATTCAGGGGTCCATCAAATGGGGAAAAAGAAAGGGGGGGGGGGGAGAGAAGTTACATTTATTAATGCATTATAAATTTAATGTATTTTTAACTTCTACTCTAGAAAAAATTAGAAGACTTGAATGCGGACTGGAAGGCAATAAATCACTTAATTCTACAACTGAAGGAAAAGCCAACATTCGGAGAGCCTGTCCTTTCCTCTCCAGGTGTCTGTAAGTGTTTCATTGTATACATCTAAAATCAGTTAAGTCACATAGTTAAAGGGAAAATGGCTTGAGACAGTCTAAATTCGTTGTGCATCTGTTCAAATTTTACCATTAGCTTGTAAATGGGAGATGTGCTGGTATGGAATTCAACTTGCTTTTTTTCTTTTTTGTGTAATGTGTCTCAGGAGACAATTTGTTTATGTATTTGATGGAATGATTGCAATGTGGTTTGAAATTATTACCTGCTTCAAGGTCTTGTTTCTTTATTCTATGTAGAGAAAACATTATGACTTTCTGTATTCATTTATTAAGCAAATATGATGAAAGAAAAAAATTGTTTAAACTAAAAGGTAATAATATAGATCAAGTAGATATAAATTTGTTACAAAATAATTTTTATATATGATAAACCAATGATCTGGGCATGTTTCAAGACAAAGCATCCATATTCAAAGAAAGGATTGTATGGAGTTAAATGTTAAGTCTGTGGGTGATGCTGATGGGTGTCCTGAGCAATTCATGACTATGCAACAAGAGACTTGGTTTCCATTTAATTTAAATTATTTGAACAATATTTTGCTTTGAATTTTACATTTTGCTTATATCTCTTTGCACCTGCAGTCTTACTACAAGGACTACAAATTCATTTTCCTACTGCTTTATTTTGAAATGTATTGACTAAGCTTGGGTGGAAAAGATACATAATTGAAGTACTGGGCTAAAGGCTGAGTTTCTAAAGTCAAGGTTCTTTACTTGGTAGTAAACTGTCATCTCAGTTGCTTGGAATGAGGAGTGTTTTTCACCCATGTAAGGTGCAAAGCTGTTTGGTGATCTGCTGAGGTCTGGGAGAAGTATCTTCTACTCTTAGGTTTCCTATAACATAGGCTGTGATATAGTCATAGAATCTCCTGGAATTTGATTGCTTGTAGGATGTTTATCTCTTGCTTTTAGCATGTTTTAATGGGTAACATATGAGAAAAACTGATGCTGGGGAATTCTGTGTCTTCTGCTAGTGACTTACTATTATAGCAAAGAAGAAAAATCTTTTCCTGGAAATCAAATAATTGCACCATTAAGGCAGGATCCAGAATATTCAGTACCAGAGGACAAATCCAGCCTTTGTCACAGTTGTGTTAATTCAAGCAAAGCAGATGTCTTGCTTAATGACGTGTTGAATCTTACTACATAGGAACTATAACTTACTTTTTTTGCGATTTAGAACTGCCATGGTTCTAGTGTTGATCTTTTTGATTTTATAAAAAGGGGTAAATACCACCAGTCTATTTTTTTTTTTTTTAACTTGTGGCACAACAATAATCCTTACTTTACAGGTCTTCGTTCTAAGGCACACTGTAGAAATTCATTTAATGACATGGGGGAACTGAAGGAGATGTGTAATCATTTTTTGATGTGCTGGGTCACTAAACTTGCTGTGTCAGTTTTGCATGTCAGCAGGTTATGTCAACTTCCAGTGGGAGGGAGCGTTTGTGATCTGTGAATTTGCTGTTACAAAGAAAGTGGTAATAACTGTACAACAGAGGGAACACAGCATAGTCTTTCATCAGATTCCTATATTAACTAACGTGAAGCTGAATCTCAAGCTGAAAAATTGCTAGATCACTAATTTACCTTAATGCAAGATGTAAGCCCTAACCACTAACATTTGTGAGACTCTACAGATGGAATTATACATACAGAAAATGAAAGCACTAGTGTTCTCTAAAGAATTAGGCAGGAAGTAAGATTGATTTCCTTTCTAGTGCCAAGAGCACTTAAAATGTGAACCTGTGCTTGTAATGCTAACTCATAATTTTTCTTTATTTGAGTCAGTTTACTGCAATAACATCATTATAAATGTGTTATCATAAAATTGTACAGTTCAGAAGGGAGATGTGGAAACATGTATTCTTCTTGTTCAAGGCAGGGTCAATTAGAGCAGGTTGCTCTGGGCCATGTCCTGAAGGTTTTTAAGTCAGGTTTTCCCCTCCCTGGGAGGGGAAGAGAGCAAAGAAGCTGCCTCTCACCTTTCTTCTCTTTACACTGGGCTACCCAAGTGTCCTCACGTCATCATAGGTTATGTCTTCCAGCTGTTTTATCAGTGATTTTGCCCTCCTCTGAAATGCATGCGTTGTTCAAGATCTGGCCACACCAATGCGAAGTATAGCCTGAAATACTGCAGCTGGGGAGACTCACCTCCTGTACTCAGATAAAACTGTTAGAATATTGACTGAATATTGAATATTCAGTATTATATAGATCAATATATATAGATTTAATATAGAATATTCCTGAATATTGACACTCCTCTTTTGAAAGAGGGCCTTCACGATAACCTCTCCCTCCAGAATAATGACTGTATAAAATTACATTAAACTATAATGTCAGGAACAGATATTCTCAACAAACTAAAACTGAAATCTCTCCACATCCAAACAATCTCATTTAAAAAAAAAATGCACAGAATAATTTTGAAAGAACTCCGTGTAGCAGTGCAAGTATGTCCTGTTGATAACTTTTTGTTTTCTGATTCTGTCTAGATTTTTGTTGATGCCTGTGTTGCTCAGACTGGGGAATGAAGATGTAATTGGCTAAGTTCTACTGCCCTGTCAGGTGTCATTTTGTCTAGTCTGGTTACGAGAACTCAGCCAGAGGGTCTTACTAAATATACCATCTGGTGGCTGTAATAGAGGGAAGGGACCCTTTGTATGATTATTTCTAGGTCTCTGTATTATGGTTTGCTTGGCAGGAGAAAGACTAAAAAATCCCACAAGGCCAGTGTGTCCTCAGGCATAATGAACAAGAACTATTTTCCTGCTAGGAAAACGTACTTAGCTGAGGGGTACGTCTAAAACATTAGCAAAGATTGACTTCTAAGACAAGATGATTCAGGAAGGAAATCACACTTACTATCTGTACATGACATTATAACATGAAATTGTGTCAACATCTCTATCTAAATAACTTGATGCATTGCTTAGCCAGCAGTTTGAAAACAGTGTAAGTAGAGAAATGTGGTTTTGGAATGTGCTTTTATAGGACAAATTTTAATAGGATATTTAGCATCCATCAGATTTCTTTTGTACTGAAGTGCTACCTCTGCATTTACTTAATAAGTTAAAGTTACATAGTGCTTTGTAAAACTTTGTGAATACATTGTGGGGTAGAAGACATCCCTGACTTTGTTCTTGAGGAGTTCATTTTCCCTTTTTTACCTTCATTTACGGGAAAATTTTGTCCACTTTTATTTGGAGTTAAACTTGAAAATAAAAATATTTAAAAGGATATCTATTTATTCTTAGTCATGCTCTACCTGAAGTTAGTGAAACTTTAAAAACAACAGAATTAAGACAGTTTAAAATACCTGTTCAGCTAATTTTACACTTTGCATGTACAAGTAATAAAACTGAGAGTGGTACTTTATGCTGTTACTCTTGCCATTTGTTTGATTTATTTAGTGTGCTCTCTTATAGTTTCAGTTTTTCCTCTGAATTTTTAGCCAAGTATTTGTCTTATATTAAAATTCCTAATCAAGTGACATGGAAAAAGATATGACCAAGAAATGAAGAAAAATTTAAGAGTGTTAATGTCAATTACAATGGGAAACTTACTTCAAAAATTAAGTAGAATTCAAGTTCTTTTTCTTTTAAAGCTTTAAGTCAGCATTCCTTAATTTGGAGCATTATTTTTAGTAGGTCTCTTTAAAAAGTACCATTTTCATTTTACAAGTTGTAGTTGAGTTAGAGATACATATGGCAGAGATGCTTTATATACGTTGATAATTATAGTATATTTAAAACAAATAAGAGGAAAGCTGTTTCTGCTTCTTGAATGCATAGAACCAAATCTGTTGGGTGCTTTTCAGTGTAATTTGCTTTGAGGCTAGAAGCTGGAGACTACAGGCATGGAGCCAAAGGTTCAGATTCCATGCATAGGGCAATAAGGCTTTTCAGGTTTTAGAATGAATTAGGGAGAATGTGGAGGAGCATTGCCACAACTTGAGACCATTAAAAGCATGTTTGAGTATGTGGTTTATGAGCTGTTATAACTTTATAAACTTCACCAAAGCAGAACTTATCATCGCTTATTAGCGTATATATTTGGCTGAGATGTAGTAAAAGGATTTGGAGGCAGTCACCTCCTGGGTGTTGCACTTTGAATTTTTGGTTTTGAGTTGAAGTTGAAAGAATGGTATTTGTGAATCTGTGGAAACTACTGACAATAGAGCTTTATTCCTTACTTTTGCTTTTATATTTTATTTGAAAGAGTGCTTCTTAAGGCACATCTCTTTTGGTTTGGGAATGATTAGTTTGAGAACATGGAGAAATCAGAACTGTGTTTCTCAGAATTTTCAAATGATAGTCTTAAAATCCTTCTAGGTTTATTGTGTACACAAATGCATAACTGTGTGCATTTAGAGGGTAAATTAAAAACAAATGTACAAACCACAGAGTCTGTATTGTTTAGAGCACCTGACATAGCATAGTTGAGATTTAGCATACGCACAATAATTCCTTGAGGAAGACTGAGCAATCTAGGAGCCTGTGCACCTACAGTGTTTTCAGTACCTAGTGCAAATGTTATTTAAAAGATACAATGCAGTAATACCATTTAAAATACTTGTGCATAGGTCATGATAGATACTTAACCATTTTCCAGTGTTGAACAGCTAGAAATCCACAGCTTGCATCTGCTTTCAAAGGTAGTTCTATGCTGAATTTAGAAGGCATTGCTACTGCCAGTAGTCCATTTTAGTTAACATTAAGTTTAGGACACTAATAAACAAAGTCACTACTATGAGAGTTGTAATAGAGAGAAATGCTATTTCCAGTGATGGCCATGTTCAGAATTGTATAGTTTGCTATATTTGCTTATGCAGAATCTAAAGGAAATGTCTTTTTGTAAGTATCAGTTATAATTTTTTTTAACTCTGTGAAGGTTTTACTGAAACAAGGGAAAAAAGCAAAAGTGAACAGGGAACAATGCAATAAGGAAACGTTATGGATAAT